GTCGTCGCCGCCGCCGCCACCGCTACCGCCGCCGCCGCCGCCGCCGAGGTGACTGAGGAGAGAGGCGCCTCCTCGCTCCCGCCGCCGCCGGACTTCAATGCCCAGTCCCCAGCTCGCCAGCGTGAGTGCGGTCCTCCCGGGTGGCCCCCGCGCCCGCTCCCGGGGCCTCGGGAAGGGGAGGGCGGGAGGCGCCGCAGCCATTAGTGCAGGCCCGAGACACGTCCCCGGAAGGAGGGCCGGGCCGGGCCGGGCCGGGGGCGGGGAGCGCGGCCGGGAAGCGTGGAGACCGAGGGTGGGTGTCTGAGGGGGGGATCGTGCGTGTGGAAGTGGGAGGGACGTGCGCGCTGTGGAAGAATGTTGAATCTTGGGGGGGACATGCGTGCGTGAGGGGGAGAGTGAATTGGGGTGAGGGCTGAGGATGCCTGGGGAGGTGAGGGGTGAGTGAGGGGATAGGGCAGTGGGTGGGAGAACTGACGGTGGGGCGGTGGGAGTGTGGGTGAGGGTAGAGGGCACGGGGGGACTGTGGTTGGGGGGCGAGCATGTGTGGGTGAGTGTCGGGGATGAGCGAGTGTGAATCGAGCGGGGAGATGGGGGGATGAGTAAGTCGGGGCGAGAGTGTGTGTGAGGCAGCGTGGGGTATGAGGGAGAGTGTTAAGTGTATGGGGGAGAGAGTGAGCGGTGGGAGGGAGGCTGGGGAGAAGGTGAGTGGAAGATGGGGGAGTGTGGACGGTGTGCCTGTCCGTGCCCAGCGCGAGGGGCATCCTGGAGGCTCTTTTCCTCGGGATGGCCTTGGTGAACCCCGGTGTCCTGGGTTAGGGAGTTCCTTCCAGGAGCATCTTGTCCCTGCGTCCTTGGGTTCAAGGGTGAAAATCTTTCTGTTCGGGAGCCTGTTCGAGAGGCACTGTCATCTTCTGGATTGTTATTAAAAAAATAAAAATTCCCCCACCCCCCTTTTCATGACATGGACATAAATTTCCCAGTTTGCCAGGAATATGGTTGCCACCCATCCTACAACCGGACTCCAAGAGCTAGCTAAAACCAGCTTGTCTGTTGCCCCAGCTCTTGGTTCTCACCTTCATGGTGTGCAGAACGGAGACGTTTGGTGAAGTACTGCTAGTTTTGCAGGTGAAAGTTATTTCATTTGTTAGGTGTATTGAAGTAGTGTTTTTTAGGTTGTGGCTCTTTTCTACCCACCTGGACAAAAGCTTAAGTACTAGTAGAAGCAAAAATAATATACCGATAATGGAGAATCATAGCCTAGTTGATTGTTTTCTGGAATTTGTCAAGAAACATACAGTGTTGAGCTTTCTGGCATCACTGTAAACATGCAGCAAATGACTGGAGTCATCAAGCTACAACTACAACTGGATTAGAATATGGTAGTTACTTGCTGCCTTGCTCTGTATTACAGAACAGTTTCAGACAGAAGATGACTTAAGTATGCCCTATTCAGTGTGCACAAGGACGTGAAGACAACAGTGACACATTATTAAAGGCTTCAGAATCGTTTACTAGCACACGATTATGTTGGTGAGGATGGTGAGAAGTTGTTGGCCAGTATTCTGATCCTGATATTTCAAGTTGTTTCACATTGGTTAGTGAAAGGACTTTTCTTAGGTTCTGGTACTGTAGAAGTAGGGGTTCTTTCTGAAGAGTACCTTGCCAGAGACTGTACTCCTAAGTGGTGGGAAGTCTCTTAGAAATTGACATTCTTTTAATGTGATAAGCAAAGAGTAGGGAGCCTTTTGGAAGGCAGCTATGCTCACCTTACACCACCAGTATTGCTCAACACAGGGTGGTCCTTTTGATAGCAGACAGAAAGGCAAAGGCATTGGTGTGTAATTAGACGTCAGAAATTATATTTTTCTTAGCGTGTCCTTATTCATGGTGTCTACTTTCAGAAATAGTAAATAGTATTACTATCTAGACAGGATTAATTAGTATTAACTGCCTACTGTGCACCAGGTGCTTTTCATAAGCTCACTTAATGCTTATAGTCATTGCAAAGGTGGTAGGTATCTTCATTTGCATTCATTCAGCGCACAAAATGGTATCTATTTGCCAGGGACTAGGGATACAGTGGTGAGCTGTCATTGACTTACAGTGATGAGATGAAGAGAGGAGATTCAAAGAGGTTCATCCACAAGATAATATCTTATCCCAGGTCACAAGATATTAAGAATTGGAATTAGATTAAAAACCATGGTCTGACTCCAAGGTCCTTGATTTTTCCACTACACTATTACTACTTTCAAAATAGGTTGTCTTACTTTGAGGTTATTATCTACAGTGTGACCCAGCAACTTATATTGAGAATAGATGAGAGCTGTTGAAATTAATGCAGAAGACTAGAGGCAAGGGATCATTTAGGAGATGCTGACTTGAGGCTGTTTAGGGCCTAAGCTAGGCTTTTATGTGGGTGGAGATTCTGCCTTGAAACTCTTGGGGCCCCAGGGTGTGTGCTTTGAGACAGAGTTTTTATGAGACACCTGGGATATGTCTGGGAGAGAAAGGTCTGATGAAAGAAACCCAACAGACTTTTATGTTTTTTATTTATTTATTTATTTTTTTTATTTTGGGGGAAAGAGGAAGAATGTATTTTGGAGGACCAAGAGTCAACTGTATGTTGTCCCTTCTTGGTGAAAGTCCTTTTATTCAGTTTTATGGGATATTTATCTCAGATTATTTATCTCAGAAGATCAAGTGAGTAAATATATATGAAAGTACTTAGTTCATTATAAATTGAACTGCAGATTCAAGTGTTATTACTACTAGGACTTTTCTACTAAAGCAGCCATCTAATTGTTATATTTAGTAGCTGGAAAAGACTAGCATTTTAGAATTCCTATAGAAACAAAAGATTATTTAAAACTGCTGATCTGGATATATTTTGACTCAGAATAGCAAAAATCAAACCTCTTCCCTCCATGAGTTAGTCAGGTAATACTGAATTTGAATGAGCCAACTTATAGGCAGAAACCATTTATAACATAATTGAACATTGGTGCTGCTAGGGGAGAGTAAACATTTGAATTAGAAAATCTGAAAATCCTATATTTTACTTGAACATTAGGTTAAGAAATCTTGTTTTTGAAAGGTAATGTTTGAGTATGCACTAGTTACAGACCACTGTTTTTGATACACAAAGTTGAAATTTAGCTAAGATTTATTTATAGGATTTGACTATGGTATTAATTTTTTATTGGAATGTGGAACTGATATTCAGGGGAGCTTCTAGAAAAAGCATTTATAAATATGATGCAGAGGAGCAGTATATAACTTCTTACCTGTTGATCTTGAAAGAGTGAAGTCTAAGGTTGATTTCTTCATGTGCTCCTATATCACCCCTGTTTCTTACAGACCCCCCCCCCAGATTTTATTTATTTATGCATATAAGAACTGGGATACAGGCCAGAAGGGCAGGGTGGTGGCAGGGTCAGAGGATTCACCAGAGACTGAGTGGGGAACAGGCACATGGTGACTTCAGTAACTGCTGAGGGGAGCAGTGGGTGAGACAGGAGAGGTCTGGTCTGCTGCACAGGAGAAGTCTGCTGCATGGTGGGTCACCTTGGCTAGGTATAGCTTCATAGCACTGTGCTTTAACCTGTTGTACCACTAGGGAGGGCCCATTTTTTTCAGACTTTAAGATAATTTTGAGCAGCCGAGTATCAAAGATCCCTTGTTTTACATGGTGTACTGAGTTGTTTATGGAGTTAGGATAGAGATCTTGAGTTCTTGGACAATTATGAAGTCCAACATTATGCACTAGGTTTCAACATTCCCTCCTTGAGAATTTTCTTGTATTAGGTCATCTCATTTAAAAAACTCAGTAATCCTTTCAGCAAGTGACATTCTTTCAGTTTTACAGATAAGGATATTGGTTTAGAGATCAATTTGCTGAATCCTAGGTTTCAGAATCCTTGTTAGATAAATAAAAGGAAGAATGATGTAATATATATATATAAATGATAACATTTTAAGACGTATTAGTGAATAGATAGCAGTAGGAAAAATATTATTTTCTCCTTGGGACTCAAAGCACTTAAATCTATGGCTAATTCTCCTCCCTCATCTCCACTACCCCCGTCCCCATTTTAAAGGGAACTATGTCGGCATTAAGTAGATATTAAGGAAGTCAGCCTTTTTTGTTTGAGACAGTGTTTTTTTTTAAATACTAAGGGATACTTCAGTTACTTTTTTTCTCATTATGAAAAGGGTTGTGCTTTTGAGATTTTTCTCAAGAAACAAGTTGGGTTATTTATGTAGAAACTGATGCTTATTCTCTTAAGTTTTAAAGCAGCAGTCCTTGCTATTATTGCTCAGATAATTTTATACCTGAGTTTGTTCAATGAACAGTGCATGTCACCATTTAATATTTTGGGAAATGGTGATTAGCATCTCTCAGTTGGCAGTGTTAAGAGTCTTTTTTCCTGGGGCCCTCTCTGGTGGCTAAGCAGGTTAAAGTGCAACACTATGAAGCTGCTTCAGCATGAGTTTGATCCCCAGCCATGGAGCTGACCCACATGGCGCGCATCTGATCTCTCCTGTCTTGCCCACTGTTCCCCTCAGCAGTGTACTTCATCAAGTAAGCCTGTTCTGCTCTCCGCTCTGTCTCTGGTGAATCCTCTCACTGCCCCTTGCACCTCTGGCCTGTACCCCATTTCTGTATGAATAAATAAATCAATCTTAAAAAAAAAAAAGCCTTTTTCCATTTTCAACTTCAGAATTAATATCTATGTAGAGAGTATCCGGTAGCTTTCTCTAGTGTCTTACTGACTGAACAGAATTCTTTAGTTCCTTTGTCTTGACTACTCTGTTGAAACTTGCAGGTTAATGGGATTATTTGATGTAGACTTAAGTGGACATTGTCTATAAATCTTTTGTTGTAGAAGTCTAGAACCAGAAATGTCACTATCTAGCACTTCTACAAAAGAAGCTGGACAGCACTGTAATAGTCTGCTCACTTTCTACAGCTACTTATGGAGTTTATGACCCCAGTGAGAAAATGTCCTTTCTCCATGTCTTAAGATGATATTTCCCCTGTGCTGTCTGTTCAATCAGTATAGACTTACCAGGCACAAAATCTTAGCCAAAATAATGACTATGAAGAATTGACAGTAT